GGGGGGGGGGGGCTTGGATTAGCAATTAAGAGTTGGTAACCTATAAGCTTAAATTTTAGAAGAAAAGCTGTATGTCTAGAAATTGTTGGGAGAAGAAAGCCATATCCCATATGTTTTGACATACTTTTTATTCACCATTGAGAACTACCTAAATACCATATTGGTCCTTCCAAGACCACAGTGGAAGAATGTAAAATTTGCTTCAGACATGAACTTCATTTGTGTGCACGATATCAACCTCATATTCTGTTATTCTTATAGGCTTTTTAGTCATTTTGTTTAGTTTGTACAAATCTCCTCTTTCCAAACCCCTAACCATCCATCCCAAGGTTTGAAATTGAGACCTTCAACTTGGAAGTCTTGTACATAAACTGGTTACCCTGTCCCCCAGGGATGCTAAGCCTTTGATCATGACTTTGTGCATGCCCATCTTATTGCATGAAAAAACAAATTAACTTTTAAAAATGTAAGATTATTTACTCTAAGCTATTTTCCCTGTATCATAGGTGCAAGACCTCGTCTTGGAATATGGTCTTGAACTTGTTGCAGAAACTCTTGTTGAGGGTCTATCAAGAGTCAAGAGGTGTACTGATGAAGGAAGAGCTCTCATGTCTTTAGACCATCAGGTGAATATCTATATTTTGACGAGTTTTTGTTCTTTATGCTTCTTACTATCTATTTTGCATCTTTTGGTAGAGAAGTTAAGCTCTGTTTTCGTTCCTTTCAGGTTTTGATCAATGGCCTGCAACACTTTGTCTCCATAAACGTGAAGCCAAAGTTACATATGGTTGAAACTTTCATTAAGGTAACAATAAGTCTAGTTGTCATCATGAGTTATTAAAGGATCTGAAAATGACCATACTGAAACTGGATGATTGCCTGCTGTCTTATGTAACAAATCTCTATTTGGTCTCTGTCTCTCAACTAATTGTCCTTCCTCTTTTCACTCTAAATAGGCTTATTACCTTCCTGAAACAGAATTTGTGCACTGGGCACGTGCTCACCCTGTAAGACTACTGTTCTGTGCTTCCACCGAACCAAGAACTGTTTTCATACCATTGTATTTTGATTGTCATACGTGACAAACATGAAATTATTTTGCCTTGCAGGAATTCAGTAAAAATCAAATTGTGGGCCTGATTAACCTTGTTGCCTCAATGAAAAGTTGGAAAAGAAAAATTAGATTGGAAGTGCTAGAGAAGATTGAGTGAGCAGGCATGTAGGTTCAGAACATTCGGTAAAGTTTCACACTCCAATAATTTTTTTGTTCTTTGTGCTGAGTAATGTATATTGGATAGTTTATTGTTTTCCCAGAAATGCGGTTTAAGGCTGTATATTTTGTATTAGCATTATCTTCTCCCATGAAGGGAATACCATATGTAATCTTGAATTACATACTTGGATGTGAAATAATCCAATGACTTATCATCAAAAAAAGAAGAAGAAGAATAATCCGTTGAATCAAATGGTAAAGTATCAGTATATTTCTCCTTCTGTTTACTAGATGTGGAGTGAACTCATTCTTCTGTGTTATTATATTTTTTACGATGACTTTCTAACAACCTTTGATGACAATATTTGTTGACAAAAGCTACATATCATCTGATGATCTGGAAACGTATTGATTCACATGTAATGCCAAGCGAAAAGAACTAATAAAAGGTACTATTGTGCTATGTTGTCAACCTTATCAATGAGTCATCTTGTAGTCTTTTATATGGCTTAGAAAAAATTTTTGGCTTAAATGTTATTTTTGATATAATGGGTTAAAAAAAGGGCTGTTTTTTTCACCTTTTCTGTTTCCTTTCGTGACATTTTCGTTGGATAATGACATTACTTGGATCATGAAATTCTTCTGGAGTGACAAATAGCTTACCGCAAGAATATGTGACTGTCAATTATGGTGTTAAAAGACCGTTTTGTTTTGATGAACAGAAATATGGGAAGAGAAACTGAGTAACAAAAACAAGACGGTAGTAAACTAATTTTATTTTTTATAACTTCCTTTCTGAAAAATAGTGAAAATATCACTGAGAAACAAATTATTCAGCCTTGTTAAAAAAAAAAGAAAAAAAAAGGACGACTTCTCTTAGCGGTTGTTGTAATAAATTGCGACAGTGCCCTTCGTTAACCAAGCTTGGCTGCAGAACGTGATCGTCTGTTTCTCGTTCGACCTTTGTAAATTACACTTTAATAAATCTCATTCTAAGCAGCCGGTGAATGTGTCACGGCACCCACCATGTTTAATGCAACACAAGGCTGATCCACCGGCACCTAAAAACATTTCATTAAAAAATACAAAGTTAATGCTTTTGATAGTATCAAACAATAGTAAAATAAAGATTTTGCAAACAATAGTAAAATAAAGATTTTGTTTAATTGGTGTTTCAAGGATATATATTAAAAAGCATGTTCAAAAAAGGATATATATTAAAAATGTATTAATTAATTTTTTTATTAACTTATGTTAGAAAACACAATTTTATTTTATTTTAAAGATTATTTGTACAAATTTAATTAAATAATTAATAAAAGTAAAGTTAATATTTTAATAATAATTTAATAAAAAAAAATTGAAACTAATGCGCAAGATATATGTAAGGAAAATCCTAAAATAAAAGTAAAATTCTAATTTGGTGTGCCATGTTGAGCTGGGAAAAATGCATTATGATGCAGCAAAGTGATCCATTGAGCTTAGATGTCAAAGTTGAGTCTTTCACCATTACTGGCTTAGCTTGTGCATGGAGTTTTACCCTATTTATGCATATTATATGTATTTATTTTATTTAAAAATAAATTATAATTATAAATTTTTAATAGTACATGACTATGTATAAGATTGTTGCATCTTCAATTAAGTACATAAAATAAATGAAAATTGTCCATAAACAAAATAAATTATTATTATAAACTAAAAACAAGAATTATAAAACTCATATGTGTCATGATTGCATAATGATAATGTTGGAGATGATGTGAACGCGACAGCCATGAATGATTAGATAGAAAAAGAGGATTGATTTTTTTTTTTTTTTTTTGTGGTGGAGATGAGACAGTGGGAGGAGTGGGTAAGGTTTGACTAATTGACTTACAAAATGTCCAGCTCCAAGAATCCAATAAAAGTGAAAATTCTTGTATGACTTGGTGAACCCTTTTGTAACTTTGTCATTCCCACAATAGAGAGGAGTTCTCTCCCTACTCTTATATTTTTGCAATCCTTCCCACCTGAATAGAGAAATGCAATTCAACACATCAACCAAAAACATAAAATTGATATCATTAATTTGGAATTTATCTTTCTATTAACAATTAAAAATAATATAATCTATACGAAATAAATT